AAAAGGCCCGGGTAAGCATAAAATTTCAGAATCGACTTTTGCCCGGACAGAGCCTCTAAAGAAATTGACAAACCCTGGTGTAATATATCTTATGAACAGTAAGAGCATGGGCTAGGCTATTGAGACCATGAACAAGTTCGTCTATTTCTTCCGCATTTCCAGCGCCACTAGTAATAAATTCTTGCACTGCTTTGAAAACTTTTATGAACAGTTGCCTAGAAGCAGTGAAAATCAGTCTGTGAAAATCGGAGAAGAAATATATTGCCTCACGCAAAAACGCTGCACTGGTCATTATTGACAGATGGGTGAGCGTAACGCATTGCGTTATCCAGCACTCTTTGAACACTTCGAATGCATTCAAAGTCAGAACCAGTGATTTCCATGACAGAAAGCATGCTGAAGCAAAGACTAACAACATCCCTTTCCTTATCAGTGTGTCCAAACATCTAAAACTGTTTTTCATCAAAACCAAGGATGAGAAAATTACAATTGTAACCAACCTCCAAGGCTTGTGCAGCAACTAACAACAGCTTTGCACGATATCCTCCACTGACGCACTTCTCAAATATAGCAGCGATCGAAACTGCAAAGAAGTCCCTTGCATTTTCTCATAATTTTAGGGAAGATCACAAACCCAATAGTTCTTCTTCAACATCTTTCAATTTCGAGGAAATCAAGAGCCCAATCAGATTTAAAATCTCATCAGGAATGTTCTCAATAGCTAAGCCCAACGATAGAATATCTTTCACCTGAATAGGATAAGTGAATCAAGATTGCGCAAAATTCGGCTTAACTAACCTTTTCAGCTGAGAGCTGTGTTAACGCTGCATCGACAGAGATGCCAGCCCGCAACATTGTCACCAAAGAATTATAATCCAGCACATCATCCAAGGAATGCTGTCCTTCAGATAATAAAGGGACATATTTGAGATGGAATTCAAAGGCCGCTTCCATAAGGCTCTTCGGTGCTTCGACCTTACCCTCAATTATGCGAGCAGTTAATCTGGAAGCACATTACTCGCTGACTGAATCAATTCAAGTTCACATTAACAACAAACCTTCTTAATATTTTTACGTCCTTTCTATCTATGAGACTCTTCATTAGTACAGGTCGCACGTTTCGCGGAACATTATCCCAACACGATAATAATAAGGAACACTGCTCTGAATAGCGTTGCACTGACTC